ACCTGATTATTTTTATATTTTGAGAGAGAGAGAGAGAGAGAGTGATTTCCAGACTCAGGGTGTAAAAGTACATCAATGCTTTTCTCGGGACCACTGCAGGTAGTCCCCAGTTTAAGAACAAGTTCCATTCCCAAGGTCTGTCTTTAAGTTGAATGTGTACATACGCCGGAATGGTATTATTGTATAATACTGTGTGCATAGTATTGTGTAATGAACTGGAACCATTGTCTATTTAACTCAAATCATTGTGTATCTAACTGGAATTTTGCTACAATAGGCTCCGTTCTTAACTGTGGGTCATCTGTAACCCCGGTGTTCTTAACTCGAGTACCCCTTTCTAATGGGAAAATGTCTATACATTAAGTGTGATTTAGGTGTAATTTGCAGGATTGTTATGATCTTATCTTTTTTGTTGCTGTTCTAGTCAATGGGCCTGTTGGATAAGAAAAGTTTGAAAATCACAGGGATCAAGTGAGTACTCTCCTTTTGATCTGCTTGATGCTGCTTTAATGAAGCTGTGACCATGAAGAAATCCATCCCTCTCCTGAAACTGACTTCCTCCCCTCTTCCAAATCCTGAGAAATAGATTTCACTGTAGGAGTGGGTGTTTTGTAATCAGTCTTCTCAAGCACTACTGGACTTTGAGATGTTTCTTTCTTACCAACCCTCAGAGACTTCTCCTGGTCCCCAGGAGGTAACATAATTGCCTTTTGGGTTCCCGAAGACAAAGATATTCCAGCAAGGGTGACCCTGATGCAGCTGCCCTCCAGGCAGGAGATCCGAGTGCGTAATCTGTTCAACGTGGTAGACTGCAAGCTACATTGGCAGAAGAACGGGGATTATCTCTGTGTGAAAGTAGACAGGACCCCGAAGGGCACACAGGTATTTGCTTCTCAAGCATACTCATCAGGCTGGCCAATGTGAGAGTCTCTGATTTTATGAAATGGACACACTTGAACCTTTGCTCCCTCTTGAGGCATGCTGGTGTTCCCTTACTTACTTATTACAGCATTTCTTTACTTACTTACACCCAATTCAGATGATGCAAGGTCATTCATGACAGTAACCGTTTCTTGAGGCCCTGGACTGCAACTCATAATGTCATGCTCGTGTGGGAATTACATTAAGCTTGCTTTGGATTTGCAAGTTTGCAATATGACCTTGTTCTGCTGCATCTGCTAGTCTGACATCTGTCTGTGCTGCATGTTTTCTGTCTCTCCCTTTACTGACAACTGTTTGCTGCCTTCCTTAGATGTTCAACTATTGCAGCTCTTCTTTTTAAAAAATGGGTGGAGATGGGCAAAATGCATTGCAATTTTTTTTAACATATAGAAACATTTGCTGCAAAACACTGAAGCAAAGCAGAGGACACATGGGAAAATCGGTGTTTTTTGTTCTAATGCTTCCTAAATAGGCTCAGATTCGTAATTATAATACTGAGAATGCAGCTGTAATAAAGTGAAGCCGTAATGTCTGGTACAAATAGGTCGATGTGCATTCTTCTCTGAATGCTTGGTGTTTGGTATTAAGCAACCCTTTTCTGTGATCTTCCAGTCTCAGTCAGCATAAGCCTGAGGTGTCACTTTGATGAAAGCCCCCTGTAGAGTATAACTTGTAATTCAGCCTTGTCTTCATAAGAGCATTTTATTTACTTACATATTATGTCCTTTTACATGAACAGTTTGTGATACATGTTATTAGGAAGGATAAAATTCTTGGTGAAATCCCGCTTTGGATCAATATCCTGCCTTCCTTCCTCTATCCCAGGGTGTAGTGACCAACTTTGAAATCTTCCGCATGAGAGAAAAGCAGGTTCCAGTTGATGTGGTGGAAATGAAAGGTAAAGGGGCATGTTTTCTTATAGTCTCGGTCTGATAATGCAAGATTTCTCCAAACAGTTGGGTTTGAACTGTTTGAACTTCCAGCCGAAGTTTATTACTACATGCACCATTTGGGAGGTTATTATTTTTATAGCATATTAGATGTAGCAGAAGTAAAGCCTAATCAAGATATAACATGCTTTACTTCTGCAGTAACTTGTCAGTCAGCGCCCGTGGTTTATGTCTTAACTAGTCGGGTTTGCTGTTTTCTGCTGGGCCTGGCGGGTCTGAGGTCTTTGTTGCTTTGAACAGCAGAGTTTTTTGAGCCGTTAAAGTCCCTTCTATGCTAGATCTCATTCTGAGTTGTGGGGCGACTGCTACACAGCCACTGGTCAGACCCAGCTGCCTTTTTCCAAAAGACTTCCTGCATCCTGTACCTGTGGGCTCCACTTTGGATGACTGGAATGCCTCCTGGACGTAGAAGGTTTCTAGTCCCCGCTGATAAGATCTTCTTGCCTTGCAGAAAGCATCATCGCGTTTGCTTGGGAGCCAAACGGAAGCAAATTTGCCGTGCTGCATGGAGAATCGCCCCGCATATCCTGTTCCTTCTACCACGTGAAGAACAACGGGAAAATAGAGCTCATTAGTAAGTGGATTCAACACATGCTTGGTGTGCTGCTGCTTTTCGGGAGGTGGTGATCTTCAGCCAAGGCAAAAGGCAGCGGGACCCACTTTTCGGAGTGTGTTACTTTGCATTTTGTTCCTTTTTCACTGGCATTCTGTTTCGGCCGTCTAATGTTAGTCATTATCCTAAAAACCTAAATATCACGGAAGCGGGATGTCTAGAAGAACGCGTTCTCCACATGATCCTGCACCCCCGCCACCCCCAGCTGAATTCCACAGTTGGTGTACGTTGCTCTTATTTGCATTGTAAATTGCTGTGGGGCCCACGTGGGGTGGGGTGGGGAATAGTGGCACAATTTAGAAGTATCTTACACAGTTGATAATGGAACTTAATGTGAAGCGAGGTTTGTAGGTACCCTGTTAAAAGCAACATGCTAGTGGGGTTTGAGCACAGCATTGAAGCTGCCTGCATAAATTAAACCTCTGAATCTGCTAAATAGTTTGAGCATATGACTGAAACCGAGGACTGCCTGACGGCGGTGACGAACAGAACAAACTGGGCGGCTCTGCTCGGTGTTATTTTAAGATAGCCTACTTAATCCTTGAGTTTTAAAATTCAGGAAGCAGCATCAGCAGGGGATTGGACATGACTTGAGCCTTTTTACTCTAGCGTGTTTGTTTAACTTTTTGAAAGTCAAATCAGTTCCATGTTTTTAATTTTTATCTCAGAAATCTTCGACAAGCAGCAGGCAAACACGATATTCTGGAGTCCTCAGGGACAGTTTGTGGTATTGGCTGGTCTCAGAAGGTGAGCACTAACTTTACGGAAGATTTAAGAGATTATATTGGTTGCAAGCATTAAAAAAAAGTGGTGTGCACTTCTGTAATCATGTACATAGTGTAAGTCTGATGATTAGAAACAAGCTGAAAATGCACATACTGAGTTTCCTTTCCTGAAAAATATGAAAATTGGCCCTTGGAAGCTTCCTTCATGTAGAAGTAAGTGGATCCCAACCCCTGGATTTCTGAGCAGGTTCCCCAATGAAGCTTACATAGTTCTAACTTTTTTTTATTGCTTTTAAAATAATAAAAAGAAAAGGAACAAAACACAAAAATAATTATAATGCAAATACATTCGTTAAAAAAAAGTGAAAAAAATACAAGAGAGAAAAGAGAAAGTATAATATATCGTTATCAGTTAACAGTTACAATTCTATATATGCTTATGTAAATATTCAAGAACATAGATATTTATTTCTAATACACTTACATAATTATCATTCTTTTCTATAACCTACTGTATTTTGTATAAATGAGTTCCTGTCAGATCTACGATGTTCAAATCCCAGCGAAGAAAAATCTCTTGAAACCCGAGTCAAGTTCAAAAAGAAATTCATTTATTGAGATGTAGATGCAGCTTCAAAGCATTGCTGAAATTAAAACCCCACGCATTCCCAATCTACTTTTACACTCACTTCTTAACCCCCCCTTCTCCTCCGCCAGTTCTTGGTTCTCATGTTGGTACGACCTTGGACATTCCTGGCCTCAGATAACAGTCCATCTGTGTTAACGGTTTCACCGTCCTTGTTCCCCCCTCCCTCCAGCGAGAAATGGCAGAACAATGATTTTTCATTGTACTTGTCCACACACGGTCTACGTCTACAGGCAGTCCGCTCGTAGGTGGCAAGTACGATCAGGACTTCAATCCGTTGGGTGAATGGGGCTGTGCATTTACCTTTCCAATGCTGCAGTATCTGTCTTTTGGCCCCAGTAAGGGCATGGAGAAGTAAGGGCATAGTTTGTAACTTGAACTCAAGTGTAGGGAGATGGCCGCGCTGGGAAGGAATTCTAGGAGACTTTTTGTGACTGATACCCCACCAGCTTGAGCAAAAGTTCAAGGAGGCTGGTGTGATACGTATCTCTCCCCTCTTTTCCTGTACAGCATGAACGGTGCCTTAGCATTTGTGGATACCTCTGATTGCACCATGATGAACATTGCTGAGCACTACACAGCCTCAGACGTGGAATGGGACCCCACCGGCCGCTACGTGGTGACGTCTGTGTCTTGGTGGAGTCACAAGGTAGTCTGACCATTTCTCCTGATCCTTTCTCACCTTTACAGGTGATTTGTTGTGCTTATTGTAGATTTCCTGCGTGGATCCCATCGCTACTAACCTCTCTCTTTGAGTGAATTCAAGATTTCAGGCATGTCTGATTACCCCTGGCAAGCAGCGAGATCAGTTTACCTATTTTATCTAGATAGAACATCACACTCCACACGTTACATGCCGCCAGGCTGATGAAGCTTCTCCCTGTAAGCACGGGGATGCTGAATTCCTGCTGCTGCAGAATGCTTTAGCAGGGATGCTGTAGCTTGACCAAAATGTCCTCCTAGGTGGACAATGCCTACTGGCTGTGGACTTTCCAGGGTCGCCTCCTCCAGAAGAATAACAAAGACCGGTTCTGCCAGTTGCTATGGAGACCCAGGCCACCAACTCTGCTCACCCAGGATCAAATAAAGGTGATGTGTCCTTTGGGGTTAAGTGTAGAAATCCGTATGAATGCTGCTGCAAAAAGGAAATTAAAGCACTCCTCAAAATAGAAATGGTGTTTCAAGAGAAGGGACAGGGTAGTGCTTGGCCCGCAGAAGACGCTGTGTTAAATCCCTGGGATCCCCAATGACCTGTAGGGCAGCTAGTAACAGTTACAGCTCTGGATAAGTTTTCCCGGGCTGAAGAGTTTGAGTGGTTTCTCTCTATGCACACATACCATTTCTGATGTCTGAAGCATTTGTCTAAAGCACTTGTCTATTTTTCCTTGTTACAGCAAATCAAGAAAGATCTGAAGAGATACTCCAAAATATTTGAACAGAAAGATCGCCTGAGCCAATCTAAAGCCTCCAAGGTAAATTGCTTTGGGAATATTGAACAAAAGATTGCTTGGGACTGTGTTGTGTTCCATCAGCTGTTGCTGCTGCCTTTAGCCCCCATCCGCCTCAGTCACATCAGATGGTCCATCCATTAGGTAATATATTTCTCAAGCTGACAAGCACTCTCAAAGTTTGGAGCTCCAGCTCTTTGTGTAATTAGGTGGGAGTAAATATGGTGACTTCTTCCCTGGAAGTACTTAAAAATAAAGGTATTTGGGAACACAGCTATTGACAGATGCATTTGAATGAATCTTGTTTTCTATAGGAACTGGTTGACAGAAGGCGAACAATGATGGAGGAGTTCAAAAAATACCGCAAGATGGCCCAGGAGCTGTACATGGAGCAGAGGAATGAGCGTTTGGAGCTCCGAGGAGGTATGTGGGACAGGAAGCCTGGCGGCTTACACCCAGTGCTTATCTTAGGTTAGCCTCTAACTTGGTGACTGCCAGATGAATTTGACCAGCTGGCATATGGGAGCTGAGACCCAAAATGTCCTCATTGGGAAAGCAACACTATGCAAGTGTATTTTGAGAGGTTATTCTAGTAGAGCTTAATCGGGGGTATGTTTAATATTCAACTGTTTATGTCAGGCCTTTATGATTCCTATAAAGGCAGGTACTTGTTTCACTGAAACAATAAAACTGTTATTGACAGAATTAGATGGCTGTTAATGAAAAAGCAAATCTGTGACCAAACCCTATCATATGTGTAAGATGGTAGTTGGAAGGTGGTTAAGAATCCTGCTCTGACAGTATTTTTCCAACTGCAGAACAGCATTTCTGTCTTCAGATCCATCTCATTTTAACACATTTTCTCTCTATCTAGGAGTAGACACGGATGAACTGGACAGTAATGTAGATGACTGGGAGGAAGAGACTGTTGAATTTTTTATCAACGAAGAAATTATTACAGTTGCAGAGGCAGAGTAATCCCAAAGCCGTGGTAAAGATTCTTCATCTTGTATAGTCAGGGAAAAAGGGAAGGCAGGGAAATCGTGTGATCCAAGAGTAACCATTTTCTCCTCTTTTACAGCACCACCATCTATTATCCTGGGAAGAGAGTTGTTCATTTTCAAGAGGCCTCCTCATCTTTGGAAGTTTTTTAAATCCATATTCTCTCTCTGGACGGTGACTGCACAGGATTCATTCATTCTGACATACTGTAGTGCCTTTTGGTCCCCTCATCTCCTGTGGGGTCCTTCAAAAGGCACTGCTTTTAATTTTGTATTCCTTTATTGGGGGAGGGTTTAGTCTAATTTTTAGCAATCTACCACCAGAACGTGCTGCTAAACGCTCCTCTGGGCGATTGGGAACACTTTCCCATCCAAGCGCAGCCTTGACACATTTTCCAGGATCTTGCGGGAAATTCAAGCGCTTCTGTTTGCCGAGGACTGTGGCTGTGTCCTGCGCCGGCAGGGGTTGGTTTGACCCAGAGAAAGACCAGCCAGGGAGGCTCTGCTTTCCACAGCATGATCGGTTGTGCTGAAGCAGCACCAGAGTGGACTTTACTCTCCCATTCCGATTGTGACAGGATCTCTCCATGGGTTGAACATTGGAAATAAAGCAAGCCAATATGCGCCGCCTGTCTTGTGTCTTGCGCTTTGAGATGTATTATTCTAAACAGTTGTCTCTAGGAAATGCAGCTTGTCGCTGCTCAAATGAATATCGCATTCATTAGCCCACTACGTAGCCCGCTTTCGTCAGGCTGAATCACTATGATGATAAAAGCCATCAACAAGCCATCTGCAAAATAACTGAGGTCAGACCACTGCGGGTGAGTTTAGATTGGCCCGTTCTAGAGCTGGAAGTTATATCCAGCGTGCACGGAGGGAGCATTTCAAAATCAAAATGTTCTGATTCCGGGATGTTTCATAGCCTCTGTTGAAAACTCTCTCTACAACTCCTGGATTGGTTCCACCTGAGCGTGATTTATCGTAGCAGTTACTCAGAAGAATCATCCATGCAGTTGAATCAGAGCCCAATCAAAATGAGTAATTTCTATAGCTGTTAAAAAGCGGTCGGGCTACCAGCTCGTACGGTGCTGTTTCTCAACCGTGAAAAACATAACCGCCCCTTGAAATCTGGGACTTCTGTTTTCGCTGCAACATGGAGGAGAACAAGCGTGTGGATGTTAAATGTTTGCATATTTTCCTTTTTGGGATTAGAGTTCAGTACCAAAATCAGAGCTTCCTAAACTTCATATAACTCAGAATGTGGTCTTTTTTTAAAGCACCTACAGTGGGGCAAAAAAGTATTTAGTCAGCCACCAATTGTGCACGTTCTCCCACTTAAAAAGATGAGAGAGGCCTGTAATTTTTATCATAGGTATACCTCAACTATGAGAGACAAAATGGGGGAAAAA